TCACTAGATCTTCAAGATAATAATTCGAGTTGTATTGCTTGCAGGCATTTGTTTTTGCAGCAATAGAAAATTAACTAGTTGGGTTGTTTTTCTCAGTTCTACCCTTCAAGAAAACAGTGCCCAGTTTTAAGATTTTTTTTTTCTGCCTTTACCAAAGGAAACACCTGACCCAGGTTCTGATTCCCCTTTTCCATTCTCACCCTTACCTTCCTCTAGATGTCAATCTGTCAACAGGGGAATCCTAGAGTATGGACTCAGTAGTGCTACCATTTTGTCACTATGGGATGAAAAGGATATGTTGTTTTTAATAATAAGCTATACAGGTGCTTTTTGACTTTAACAAAGAGTGTACCTCTTACGTATAGTCCAACATGGATTCTCCAGCAAAATGACCCACGGGAGAAAAGCATCAACGGTGGCAGCCACCAGGGGTGAGCATCCATAGCAAGTGCTCCCCCACTGAGCTGCATCCCCAGCTGGCAGGCAACATCTGTAAGCTCTCCTGGGCGCCTCTCATGACACAGTCAGGTGGAAGGGTAAAGGAATGTTCCCAGCCAAGGGAACTCACTGTTCTCTTTAGGCTGAAGCTTTTGTTTATGACCTTTTTCTAATGTCCKTTCTGTTATAGTCTTGAAATGGTTATCAGGTCCACCAACAAGCTCATTTTGACCTTTATATCATCAGCTAATGGAGGCCATGCCAGGATGGAACTGGTTCCCTTCAGCTAATTAATTAGGAAGCTTTGTTCTTAWCAATGTTTACAGAAGGCAGAATTTTCCTGGCATGGGTTCCCCTCGAGTGCTGTTTTGGGTCAGTACTGCCAGAAGTAAGAATTTTGTGATTTTACAAAAGATCAAGACCTCTCCTACCTAAGTCCTTATTGGTTTATGAGATTACAGACTCAGGCCAAGAAGCTGGCTTGTGTTTCAGTGCAGATCTGAAGACCAGCTTCTACCAGCCAGCTAGTGTCAGGAACTGTTCCTGTTCACTCAACTCCTTGGCTAATCCCTAAAAGCACGACAGCCCCTCCCCAGTACCAAACACTCATTCGTTCTCTTTTTGGATATATCAGCTTAATGGACACCTCCGGAAACTTTTAATACCCTACCTACTCAATATGTAGTTGGTGTTTCAGGATTTATACTGCAATTATTAAGTCTATATATTTTTGTCTACTGACCCTACCTTATTCCCTTCCATTTGCATGGTCTGAATGTTTTTGCAGCCTCCCCACCCCCTGGAAAAAAGCAATCCATATGTTGAAACCTAATCATCAATGTGATAGCATTAGGATATGGGGCTGTTGAGAGGTGATTAGGTGATTGAGGGARAACGTTTGTAAATGAGATTAGTGCCTTCATAAAAGAGACCCCAGAGCTGGTGCAAACCTGTGATCCTAGCAGCTTGGGAGGCTGAGGTGGGAGGATCGCAAGTTCAAAGCCAGCCTCAGAAACTTAATGAGGCTCCAAGCAATTTAGCAAGACCTTGTCTCAAATTAAAGAAATAAAAGGGTTGGGAAACCTGGCTCCAAGGCTAAGCACCCCTGGTTTCAATCCCCTGAACCAATAAATAAATAAATAAATAAAAATAAAAGAAGCTCCAGAGGGCTGCCTTGTACCTTCCATCACGTGAGGACTCCAAGAGAGGGAGTCATCTTTGAGCCAGGGAGTGAGCCCTCATTAGACACTGAACACACCTTGCTAATTGTGGACATCCCAGCCTCCAAAACTGTTAATAAAAAAACCAAGCTACCCAGTTTACGGTATTTTGTTACAGCAGCCTAAGTGAACTAATACACCATTAGTGTATTAGTTAATTAATCAACAGGTACATGTTCACATCTACCATTAACTAAGTTATTTGCTCAGCACTGGATTATTGGAGTGGGAAAGAAAAATATAATTTAACTGCTAAGGTTTAAATAAATGTCTCCCTAAACCCTGTCTGTGTTTTAAAGTCTTTGTCTGCAGCCTGTGGTACTGTTCAGAAGAGGAGGAGATTTTAATTGGTTAGCATAATGGGAGGTTTTCTAGTGTACCTTTGAGGGGACCAGTGGGACTCTTACCCTTTCCTCCCTGTTTTTCACATCTAGGCCATGATGTGAGAGRATTTACTTCACCATGTGCTCCCCACTATGATGTGATGTGTTCACAGGGCCAAAAGTATAGGTGCCAACCAAAAATGGGTTGAAATCTCAGAAATTATGAGCCAAAATAAGTATTTTCTTTTTTTAAGTTGGTTATTTCAGGTATTTTGTTATAGTAACTAAAAGATGACTAAAACATCAACTAAACACAAAAATAAATATCCATATCAATAAAGACATTGAACTCATACTTTAAGTGACAGGAAAAACAATAAAAGATCCTCTAGAGTACTAAGAAATATATTTAAAAGGTTGCAAAATAGTAGAAAAAATAGAATAAGCATGATATTATAATTAGATATAACAGGATTGGGACAGGGAATGGTACAATTACATTTGTGAGGAGTATTAAGAAGATGAGTACATAATTATAGCATAAGAAATCCACCAAGTCTTTAATAAATAAAATAGTATTACATTACCAACCAAAGTATAAAGCAAATATGTATGAGCCCATGTGGATAGAAAAATAAGTGGTTAAATACACAAGGGACACATCCTCCTTCCCTAAGAATTCCAAATAGTTCATGAAGCTATTATACCTCCAAGCAGGTAAAATATAGCTCTCCTTCCTTAAGTGTGGATTGTGCATAGTGACTTCCTTCCAAAATATATAGCATGGAAATGAGGAAAACAGGTAAGTAACCTATACAGAAAGCTGATATACACTACCTCAGCCAGGTGAAGAAGGTCAACATCACCAGTAGTAAGTCATGTTTACAGTATGCTCCCTAAATATAATATGGTAAAAATGGCACTTCACCTCTGTGGTCCTCCTCCCCAAACCCTAGAACCCATTTGAGTCATGAGAAAAACATCAGAGAAATACCATGAGGATATTTGACTAGTATTCTTCAAACCTGTCAAAGTAATACAAAACAAGGGAAATCTGAGACACTGCCATAGCCAAGGGGTGCCCAAGGAGACATGAGGACTGGATGGAATGTGGGATCCTGGAACAGAAGAGGACACCAAGGAAAAATAAGGAAAACCTGAACAAAGTGTACTGTGTACTGTACTAATAAGATACAAACAGCAGGGGAAACTGGGTGTGGGGTATATGCCTGTAATCCCAACAACTCAAAAGGCTGAAGGAGGAGGATGTCAAGCACAAGGCTAGTCTCAGCAATTTAGTGAGACCCTTTCTCAAAATAAAAAATAAAAGGACTAGGGATATAGTATCCCTGGGTTCAATCACAATACTGTACATCAACCCCCCCAAAAAAATTAAAAATGCAAGAAAACACTTGCAGTGCCAGACTTTTTGACAACCCAGGAACAATATGGAAAATGTTACCACAATACTTCCAAATTAAACCCCAAATAAATTAGGATTAGAAGAGGCCATATATTATATATTTATATATTATATATTTACCCAACACTTTAATCTGCCCATTAATCTATTTATTCTATTTTATCTTATTTTTTGTGGATTGATTGCCTCTTGGTTGTTTCTTGGCTACAACTTCAAACTTAGGGCATATTGTTCCTATTTTGATGCCTAAATAGAAATAAGAGAGTAAAATGATTTTCACTGTTTTTAATTAACACATTTTACACTAAAATCACAATGCTTTTAGATATTTAAACTTTCAGTGGAATACATATCTTGCCCAGTAGTTTTGTTACAGTTCCTCCAGCTTGTGTCTTTGTTGCCTTTCTGCATGGGCACATTTTTTTTTCTTTGCTGTTCAGTGTGATACCAATTGATATTTCAAAATTGCACAAAGGTTTAATTGTGAAACTCTGCCTTCTTGGTTTGGTTTTCTTTATTATAGATCAGCACATGTTCCTTCCTTGAGACCATATGCACCCTCCTTCCCCTCTAATGAGATTGTGGGAAAAGTCATTCTATTGTGGTGTAAGACACTCATCTGGCAGGTTGTTTTAAGTATTATACGTATTATATTACTAGGACTTGAATAGAAACAATAACTCATTTATTTTTTTTAAAAAAAAAGGAAAGAAAAAATAGAAAGAACGAAAGACAAAGACTTCATTGCTTAAGGTCTATTGTCTTTTTCAAAAAAAAAAAAAAAAAAGTTAACGCGAAGAAAACAAAAGGAAACGTTCCCAGGATTTTAAATCTCATGAGTTCAGAATCTGTGAAAATCCTTTTTAAAACCATCCCGTGAAATTGGCTTTGAGATGTCTCCCCTACTAAGTTACTGGATCATTCGTCTTTTGCATCTTTCTAACTATTGTCCCACTGGACGTCTCCTGAGGACACAGCAGCTGGCCAGAGTCACCAGACCAGACTTCTCTGAAGGTCCATGTGCAGGTGGAGAGGATAAAAGTACTTGTGGCTCAGCAGCCACGAACTTCCCCCACCCCCGCCTCGCACAAGCGCCTTGCATACTGTCCGCCCAGAAGGGACCCCTAGAAGCCCTGTCCACTCTGCCACTGGCCCCTCCGCCTGTCGGTACTTAAATCGCGGCCGGCGCCTGCCTCCTAGTGATGCCATCTTCYTCGGGCTCTTAGCATCTTAGGAGTAGAGTTTTGCATTCTGATCACGTCCCCGGTGTCTTTGAAAACTTACCCCAACTTTGTAAGAAGACGAGAATCTGCGAGTGGMCACCCTTAATTTTTTTCGAACTACAACTGACGAAATCGGGCAATATTTTCCAGAAACCCCAGCTCTCCGGCTCCCAGTACCTGCACCCGTCCGCCCCCGGCATTTCCCGCTGGTTTAGTGTAAAACCTGATGCCCCTCTACAGACCCCCCACCCCAGCCCAGGGGCGCAGAGGCGCGGTCCGCGAGCGCCGCGTCTGGGCGCTGGAGGTTTGGGGGAGGCTGGTCAAGTAGGAGGCGGTGGATGGGTGGGCGGGTGGAGGTACCCGAGCAACTTACAGCCCAGGGCGACCACCAGGTAGCGCAGCAACAGCAGGAGGAGGCGGTGGCTGCTCCCCCTCGCCATCTTCCCGGGGCCGGAGCTAGCTGCTGGGCGCGGAGGTCCAGGGTCCCAGCGGCAGGAGCGCGGGCGGCGGGCGGGGGCCCCGAACTTCTGGGGCTGCCGAGGAGGAGAGAGTCGCGCAGCCGAGGAAGCGGAGGGGAGGGGCGGGTCCTGAAGGGATGCCAGTTTCTCTTCCCCGGGCGCCTTCTCCGCAGGCTGCCAAGAGGCCGGTCTTCAATCGTCCAGTCCTGGGATGGGGGCTCCGGGCTGTTCTTTTTTTTAAGGAGGGGAGTGGGCTGGGGGCGTGGAAGCGACACAAGGTGTCCGCCGGGTCCTAGTGGTGGTGGTGGTGGGGCAGCAGTAATCTAGCCGCGGAAGGGAAAGCCTTGGCGGGTCGTTCCCCCACCCCCGCGCCGCCGGGATTGATCCGCTTTGTGTCTGGTCCTGCGCGGGCWGCCAGCTGTCCCCGGGGCGAGGAGCTCCGGGCAGAAGGCGCGCACAGGGGTGGGGGGCGTGGGGGGGGCGGTCGGTGATGGGTTGGGCGGGGGGCGGGCTCCGCCTGCCTCGCTCCGATCCCTTTCTTCTGCGCACAAAACTTCTTTTTCGGGTTTCAGCTTAGGGCTAAGAGCTTGTTGGAAAAAAAAATTCTGCCGAACGAGCGAAACCGCGAGGGAAGCGCTGGGAGAGGGAGTCTGCGAGCTCCGCCTCGGACTTTAGGGGAAAAAAAAAGAAAAGCAATCACGTTGGTGCTGGAAGTCAGGTCTCAGGTTTCAGAATAGCCTTGGCCCCTTCTCAGTTTGAGCGTTTTGCTCCTTCTGGAGTTAAGGTGTGTTTTGTGTTCTTTGCTCTTTCACGTGTCAGAATTGGAAGTTCATCTAACGGTGTGAAATATTTATCATGTTTCTTTCAAGTTACATAACTGCTGCCTGTGGAGTTTTCCACATGTTAAAACTCCGCAGCTGCCTTTTGTCAGGTTTATTTTTGGTCTACTCTGCTTTTAAAAGGGAGACCCATTATGAATGCTCTGTTGCGTGCTTTTGAATTGGCCCGCATTTATGTTGCACATGCTTACAAAGGCTAAACAGGCGGTTTTTATGTTTGCTTCTAGGCACCAAAAATGTCTGGTGCCTTCAAGGAAATGGCAGGTCTGGATAAGGACCCTTGCAAGAGAAGAAATTTTTAAACAGAGTATTTTTAAAAGGTAGACGAATGCATAAWCCTCTGTATAAAAGAGAGCTGATTCGGTGGTGAGCGGTTAAAAAATTCAGCCCACTCAGTGGACAAAGGCAACCAGCGTTTAGACAGGCAGAGCTGCAAGGAATGGGGCATCCCTGATGTTGCCTTGGCGACGGTGAGGTGATGAAGGCTTAGTCCCTATGGGAAGGGAGGAGGTGGCAGAGAAATCAGGGACCCAGAAGGGAAAGTCGAAAATGGCAAAATGTTAAAGCTCATACTTCACCCAAGCAAGAAGGAGAACAGGCTCTAGGACAGACTTTTGCCAGCTTTTCTGGGCAGTAACAAGTAATATTTGCTACTTTAAAGTTATTTGCATTCTTTTTTTCTTCTCATTCTTGCTATAACTGTATGATTTTTAGCCTCCCTAAAGATACATGTACATAAGATATGTGTGTGTGTGTGTGTGTGTGTGTGTGTGTGTGTGTAATTGGCTCATTTATTTTTCCACTCAGCCAAGGCATTTGTCAAATGGCTACAGTGTGTTCAATGCTGGGGGACCATAATGCACAAGACTGATAATAAACTCACAGTTCCGATGGGGTGAGGTGGGGAAAGAATCCCATCTAAGACCCCTAATACCACAAGTGTTACAGAAGGACAGTAAATAAAAACAACGGTTTTTATTTCATGTTTTCTCAGTGGTAGCGTCTGAAAACATGAGATATCTAATAGCCCGGCAACTTTAAGAGAGTCAGGGTTATCATTTCCACTTGACAGAAGAGAAAATTGGGCTAAGACATGCCAAATGGCTTGCCCAAGGCCAAGGATATGGGGATGGGTCCAGGGCGGGTCCAGAGCTTTCTTCATTAGGCCTTGAAAATGGGTAAAATTTTGAAAGGAAGGAAGTCAGGGATGGGCATTCTAGATAGAGAGCAGGATCAAAATCTAGGAGATATAAAAATTATGGATTATTTATGAAAACCAAATTTCTACAGCACTAGAGTACATGTGGAATTGGGATGAGGGTGGTGGGTGGTAGAAAACAAAGAGGAGGTTGAACTATGAGGATTATTCAATGTCATATAACTGACTCTAGATATTATTCTACAGCTTTTTTAAAAAAAAAATGGATTGGGTCTTTATTTTCCCACATTTTAATATTGATACATTATAATTGTACATAATGATTGAATTTGCTGTTACATACTCATATAGACACAAAATATAGCAATTTAATTTGGCCAATATCACTCTCCAGCATTCCCCCCTCCCTCCACTACTGACCCTCTATTTTAGGTCCATTTTCTCTACTGGGCTCCCTTTGATTTTTATGAGATCCGCCCCAACCTTTTTTTTTTTTTTTTCCTTTTTCTCCTTTGGCTTTTGCATATGAGAGAAAACATATGACCCTTGCCCTTCAGACCTGACTTATTTTGCTTAACAAGATGATCTCTAATTTCATCCATTTCCCTGCAAATGACATAATTTCATTTCTCTTTATGGCTGAATAAAATTCTGTTGTGAAYACATACCACATTTTCTTTATTCATTTATCCATTGATGGAAACCTAGGCTGATTCCATAATTTGGTTATTGTGAATTTATTCTACAGCTTTTTAGGACAGGATATGAAGAAATCCATATTTTATTTCTTATTAGAGCTTTATTAGAGCTTTATGTACAAGTGTACCTTTCCCCCACAATGCTAGTATTTATTGTTGTTTTTATTCTTGATTATTGCCACTCTAACTGGAGTGACATGAAATCCTAGGGTAGTTTTGATTCGAATTTCTCTGATTGCTAAAGATGTTAGACATTTTTTTTTCATATATTTGTTGGCCATTTATGTTTCTTCTCATGAGAAGTTTCTGTTTAGCTCTTTTATTGATTGGACGTGTGTGAGTGTGTGTGTGTGTGTGTGTGTGTGTGTGTGTGTGTGTTAAATTTTTGAGTTCTTTGTATATTCTGGATATTAATTCCCTATTGGAGGAATAGCTGTCCAAGATTTTCTCCCATTCATTAGGCTCTCTCTTCACACTCTTATTTCCTTTGCTGTTCAGAAGCTTTTTAGTTTGATGATTCCATTTACTGACTCTTGGTTGCATTTTTTGCAATACCCATCAAAATACTAATGACATTCTTTACAGAATCAGAAAAAAAATAATTCTTAAATTCATTGGGAAGAATAAGAGACCCAGAATAGCCAAAACAATACTAAGCAAGAAAATCGAAGCAGGTGGCATCACAATACCTGATCTGAAATTATATTACAGAGCTGCAGTAACAAAACAGCATGGTATTGGCATCAAAAATAGACATGAAGACCAAGGGAGCAGAATAGAAGACGTAGAGAAAAATCCACATACCTATAGCTGTCTGTTGTTTGACAAAAGTGCCTCAAATGTATCTTGGAGAAAAGACAGCCTTTTAAACAAATAGTGCTGGGAAAACTGAGTGAAATTAGACTCCTTTCTCTTATGTGCACAAAACTCAAATCTAAATGGATCAAAGACTTAGGAATTAGACCATAAAGTTTACAAGTGCTAGAAGAAAACATAGGGTCGACATTCCATCATATAGGTGCAGGAACTGACTTCCTTAATGAGAGCCCCAAAGCACAAGAAATGCAATATTCATATTTTAGAATTGTGCTGTGCCATATAGTAGCCTAGAGATTTGAGTCATCATATAAAATTGAATGATTGAAAAAACATCAGCAATAGGATGGTGAAAGKTGTAGCTGTCCTAAACACTACTTTGTTAGGGAATGGTTAAGAGTGGGTTTTACTATGGTTATGCTTATAAGAATCCCTTTYAGGGGATGTGGGCAATCTGTTGGGCAAAATAGGGAGACAATAWCACAGATGTCCGTCTAAACTCTATTCTTCTCTCCAAGAGCATACACCCGCCACCACCTGTCATAATCACTTTCACCTTGACACTATGAACAGTTTTTTTCAGGTAAATGTAAACGGTGATTTAATATTTTAGGACATTTCCCAATTTTTAGTCTTTTTACTCTAATTCTGAATTCAAGGTAACATTGAGGAGGTGTGGAGGCACATTTCCTAAAACCAGCAGTGCAGGAAAGGGCTGGGTTTAAATCCAGTGACTTCTCACAACATCTCAGATTTGGTGTTCTGTGTTAGATGGGTTATTTTTCCTCATGGGTGTGGAGAGGGTGCTGGCAAGTGTCCACATGCTGTAGCTTAGAGAAAGGAAAGAAAAAAATACTTCCATTTCTGGAAACACAGAAATGCTCAATTGTCCCATGTATAAATTTTAAGCTCCAAGAATAGAATTCAAGGTCTTTATTGAGTTCCTCATTACCTTGTTCCATTACCTCTCACCACTCTCTCTTCAGCCCATTTTCTGGAACGTGGCTGATTTTAGTATCTCATCCTGATGTGCCCATCCACCCTCRGGCTTGTGATACCCTGCTATGGTTTGGATGTTGAACCGCCTCCAAAGATCCATATGTAAATGCTTCTTTGTCCCCAGGGTGGTGGTAGTGGGAAGTTCTGTGGACCTTTAGCAGATGGGGCCTAGTGGAAGGTCCTTAGGTTGTTGGGGGCATATCCTCACAGTGGATTGTGGGACCCCAAGTGCTCCCTTGCTCTCCACTCCTGATTGGAGATGTAATCACGAGGTTGCTCCTGACATACACTCCTGCCATGAGCACCATGAGGCCATATAGCCCAGGCACGGCTACTGAGCACTTTGTCATTTGGATTTTCAGCCTCTGAAACTGTAAGCTAAATAAACCTTTTCTCTCTTTGCAATTCAACTGCCTGGTGTATTTGATTGTAGTAAATGGAGCTGACTGATACATATTTATCCTCCTTTCCAGTCAAACACAGAACCCCAGGTAGCTTTTTTACTCTCCCTAAGTGACACCGTTCAACTTTTTCTCAAGGAGGACTAAGAGAATTAAGAGAGGGAAGACAACTTTACAAGCTTCATTTGGTTCTAATATTATAAGCAGAAACATACTTTCATGTTCTCTGTTCCTAAATTACTTAGCRTCACCAAGTGAGTCCTACCTTCCAGTTAAGAGACATTCACTAGCAATCAACAAATAAATCATGACTCTTTTCTTTTTAAAAAATGATATTTGTAACCAGACATGGTGGTGCAAAACACCTGTAGTCCCACTACTCAGGAAACTGAGGCAGGARCATTACAAGTTCAAGGCCAGCCTGGGCAATTTAGTGAGATCCTGTCTCGAAAAGTAAGTAAATAAAAAAGGCTTGAGGATATGATTCAATACTAGAGGGCCTCAGGTTCAATCCTC